GTGTAGAATCAAATGCCCCTGAGAAGTCACAATTCTAGGCCTTGTATGATCTAGTTTGAGAAGGGCGAGATGATTGTAAGGAGCCACTTCTATCTTTCATGCCTTACCTCTGCCTCCGGGGCTTCGTCCCATGGCTCGCTCCATGATAGCTATGATGAATAGCCGACCAAGGATTGTCCTTTGTCTCTTGCGCCATGAGGCCCACAGCCACCCGCGCCGAAAACTAGCTAGTACCAATTTCATGTCTTGAAACTTGCAATCCCCTGAGCTGACGACAACAGGTAGGGTTCAAGAGGAAAGGCAGATTCTGAGCCTAATCGTTAATCTGAAACCCTGAGCCCCGAATTCTACAGAATTTGGAGTCAGAACTGTAAAACTCAACTGAAATGGAAATCAGATCTCCTCAGCCGCTGAGCCTGAAATCTGTGCCCACTGCCATAATTTTCATGTAGCCCCACAAGCCACAAGCCCAGGAACCCTAGACCCTCAGGAGGTTCAGGAATTGACTGCCAAGACCTGATTGCAGAGCCACACTTGCCAGAGGCAGCACCGAACTAATGCGCTCTCAGTCTTGTGGAAGGTCAGGGCAAAGTGCTAGTACGGGCCAGGCCGCCCCTTTGCTCCCTGACTCACTGGCGTCTTAGGGTTTGGTGTCTCGAGTTTGAGTTAAGGGGGGACCGTCGAGAACCTCAAAGAAACATGAAACTCAACACTCTTAAACCCTTGAAACCAGAACTCTGAACCCATCTACTGAAACCTTGGGCAGTTGCACCTGGAAGAATTTACATCTAGATGTATATAGTTACCGTCAATACTGCGGTGCCTGTTCTATCCTTAGTATACTGCGTCCGCTCATATTTGGGTTACCTCAAAAAGGGACCATAATTATGACAGCCCAGATTGAGTCGAGGTTGAGGGCAGAGGATCAAGATAACGGTGGCTTGGCTTTTGGAATAACTATCCCCGCCCCGCTGGCAATCAAGATTCCCCATGTATTGAAATCTTACTGAAGTTGGAATATCTAGTGCAGGGGGGTTGTAAGGTGCGTGTTTTCTATCTTTTGATGAACTGGATACATTGTATTACAGTCACTACAGGTCTATAGGTCATGCCAAGCCTGAATCAAACCAATTGCCGGCCACTTAGGGAGCTTCAAACCTTGAAAGTCCTAAATCTTAAAAAAGCCGACTCAGACCTTTCCGTGTAGGTTCTTTACCAGATGGAGAAGACATGGCACAGTAGCTGTGTGAACCTCTACTCCGGGAATGTTGCAAGTAGAGTTCTCACCATCACGGTCGTTGGCACAAGCCTTGAATCTTGACCAGTAGGTCACCTTCTGAGTCAAGTATCAAAGGCACCCCACAGGAGCGCAGGTACAAGACTCTAACCCGGAATCTTAGACTGTATAAACCCTGAAAGATTCATCCTAAACCTACAGTGTAGCGTCTTGGGGAGCCTTGCCATCCGGACCGTCGGCGAGCTTGACAATGATGTTGCCTTATCTACAGATGGAGCTTGTAGCGTTCAGGAAATTGCATACAGGATTCAGAAATGACTTTCAGATATCCCGTAGGTTGCTTTTTACGATACGTTGCCCTTTCCACAAATGATGATGTCACCGGTACGGACACGGGCCTTGTTCGAATTAGGGGCCCCTTGTCGGAAATCCCCCTTAAAACCCTAAGCCCATATGCAAATTCATCAAGATGGTACCTGCGCAATCATAGTCAATCCTCTACATCAACATTAAAAACCTACGCAACAAGGAGATCCCAGATTTGAAGCCAATGCTCGTTACTAGATTCCTTTATACAAGCTCCTTTCTTGTATCAAAGGCCATTGATGACCTTGGAAATTCAGGAGATCCTTCAGTGGGATCAATGACCATAGTGTTTATGGTTGACGGGTTCTAGGGTGTAAAGGTTTGGCCGTGGGCCCCCCGATATGAGGCCTATTTCAGGGGACCCTGCGGGCCCTCAAAAAGTCTAGACAAGATTATAAGAAAGGGGTCTACCAAAACCTCAGGAAGGGTCCTTTCTTCGGGACACTTCCGTCTTTCTGCTCCTCATTTGCAAGCTACAAGCCCTGGCCTAGCAGTGAGCTTTCATTGCCATCCACCCAGCCCCGCCCACGCAGTGCACAGGCCCCGCGCGCCCCGGACCCCGTCTGCGACGGGCGACCGCGGCCCCGGAGCCCGTCCATGGGCTTTAGGTATAGGAGGTCTGTAAGAGCATTTCTTCTCGGTCCCAGCCGGATCCTTTCTACAGAAATCACGGCAATGACAATGGAGTGCAGCAAGGTCTGAGCTCTATAAATTACACGCTCGCGTCTGGAAGTAAGCTGGAGAAGCAAAATATTGCCATGTTTGCAACTGTTTTGACAAGTTGGTTCACAAGTCCTGATCGTGTGGTCCGATGATGTGAGGTTGCGGGTTTGGGGCTTGTAACGGTTAACGATGCAGTGTGAGTGTAGGGTGTGGACTTGTTGGGAACATTGCCCTCAACTGGGATTGCAACCATGCTCTAGACACTGAACTCCAAACCCTGAACCTTAAGATGTCAAATTAGAAATAGCAGAGGCGCAACCTGGAATCCTACACGTCAAGTGGCCCTCAAGCCCTAAACCTCAACCCTAAACCCAACCTCAAGCCCTCAGAAGGCACGAATCCTGAGGCCCTACGAATTCATCTCGAGGCCTATAAACCTAAGCCCCAATCTGAGACCTTAATCCGTCACCGTGACCCCAGAAAGAGCTGGGGTACCATGTTAGTTTGGGGGGCAACCTCGAAACTGCAGCTCCTCCCAACCGCCGGCCTTCACCAGGCCTTATCTCGTATCCTTGAGACATGGCCTCGCAAAGTAGCATAGAGTATAAGTATAGGGGTTTGTAAGCGTTTTTCTGATGAGCTGTTAGGATTTGGGCTTGGCTTTCTAGGGGCAAGCGTCGGTGTAGAGTTCAAGGTAACAGATCTTCAATATGGATCCGGCCTTGGGCGGGCATTTGCAAGTCTCAAGAATGGACACCAGGAACTTCAGGAAGTGGTTTGGATACCACGCAAGAGAATGCTCACATTGCATACTCTTAGCTTGAGGTCCTTCGAAAGCATTGGAGTCGCTCCTGTCGAAGGCAGCGCTACAGAGCAGCCTATAAGACAGAAGTGGCCAAGACAAAGGGATGCTACTGTCAATGTCGTGCTTTACTAGCTAGCGTCATCCAATAAACAAAGCTCTCTTCGAGGCGACGATTAGACCTAGTAATCTAGCCAACCTCCTACTCATGCACCCGTGATGGACCTTAGGGTCAAAACTAAACATTACTTATAAAATAGACTTCGGGCCCAGGAGGTTTGCGCTGGCTACATGGCATGCTGCATCCCTATGACTAGGATGTCCAGATTGCCAAGCTCTCGGTCCCGAGCTTGCACCGGTTTTGGCGGGTTTGGGGTAGGAAGATCGGGATTTTCTAGCAGTTGTTGTGAGTAAATCTCGGAACCTAGGGTTCGAAGGACAGGACGCGAGCTGTACAGCGCCTCCATAGCTGAAGGCCGACCAGTGCTGATTACAGAGAGCTGAGATAATCATTCATTGATCAGGCCTCCGCCAGAAAAAAAAAAAAAAAAAAGCTATGGCATGTGAATGTGACATCTGCAATCAAGAAGATAACCGAAAAAAAGAGCTTCTCTCAACTGCTCAATGTGTTTAGTACGCCCGCAAAATAGAAAGGCTTAGATGACGAGTGCTAAAAACTTCCAACTACCAACTGCCGATAGAAAGCCCCCTGCCGAATGCCCTTAGGCTCTGACTGCAATGGCGTTGCTGGCTTCGATGGCGTTGGAGTATCGCACGAAAGCGCACGCCTGTCCGGACTTGGACCTCGGTTGAACTTGCTGACTCTGCCTTTTTCAGGGTTCAGGCCTTGGGGCTTCAATTCCAGCGTGCATGGCGCAACTCAACATGAGACATGCTTTCACAAGGATTTCAGTCAAGAGTTCTGAATTCCTTCATCAGGAAATCAGGAAGGCTTTGAGTTTTGGCCTTGGGTCTTAGCATCTGTGCGCAAAATCGCAAAATGGCCCGGCTGAGGCCAAGCAAAGTGCCCAGGGAGCGCCACAAAATCTTCTGAGACAACGCCAGCTTCCCGCGTCGAACGCGGATCGACAAAAAGCAAAACAAACATCACAGCTGCAACAACGCCTGCTGGGACTCAGCCCTCAGCCCTTCTTGGATTGAGATACTCTAGCTATGAATTGTTCATAGTCGAAGGACTCAGAGTGCCTAGCATGGTGCTGGATATCTTGTGATTTCTTGCATCAGTCGTCATATGGCTTCCAACTTGTGCAGGCCTAATTGCGGATATGAGTTGGGGGCAACCCCAAAGTAAGCACTGCCAGTCATAGCCCATAGACCGTCACAGTCGAGCTTGCAGACGAATTATATACATAATATATCCAGCTTGGGGCCTCAGTAGTCGGGAGCTTTGTGCTACATGTCTGGAAAGTGGACTAGAACAAGACAAATGTGAAGGCTCAGGCTGCAAACTGTCCTCATGCGTACAGGTCAACAGATAAGTCTGTTTAGAAGGCTCTAGGCAGGAGCTCAGGGCTAGTTACGGAGCAAATATGGAGTCTTCGCAACATATGGAAACCTTTTCCAGGGTTCCAGACAGGACGAGACGCCATGATGGTATATGGCGCCCTTACTGTTGAGAAAGCCTCACGAACATCACTAAGCGGTGCGCGCTTCGCAAACATGCAGCTGCTGAATGCAACGATTAGGCTGTTGGGGCTTAGCATTGATGAATGGGATTGTTGCGTTGGCCGATCAAGTAAGTGTGAGCACCTGTGTGACAGGGAAAAGAAACTCAAGCCTTCATCTGCAGGTCTCGCAGCAGAAAAGATGCGACAAAAATGTATAATTCAAGGTAGTTCACCCTAATATGACAAGTGGCAGCATGAAGCCTCTTTGGAGACCCCAAAATTTAAAAGGTCATAAGGCTGCCGCTTGCCGGTCATGATGTGGATGTCGGTGACTTCGCCGTAGGTCTTAAAGACGACATCCAGCGCCTGTCTTTGGATGTCACCTGCGTGGGTCTGAGAGATGGGAGGGGTGGCGCCAGACAGCTTAGGGGGTTCAATTCTATAGTTAAGAAGTTATGGAGGCCCCGAAGTCTGGCTAACTCATGAAAAATCAGCGCGTCTGCGTAAGAAATATATACTGCCGTGATGATCTTGAATGCAACTCTGGCAGGGTCATGATGACTTTGGGGAGGTTTGCAGCATCTGCTACCCTTGAGGGCCCTGGGATGTGCAGTGACATCAGGTACTATAGTGGTCAGTTGCCAACCACATCTTCAACAACAACAATTCCTTGAACAGCCGAGAAAATCGGGGACTCGCATAGGCGAGAGGCGGCAAGAGCTTGAAGGAAGCCATATTGCACACGGGCAGTGCCAACTTCAGAAAACAGGGCGGGTTAGCCATGGGCTTACTCGTGTGCTGTACTCCTTTGGTAGCTCCCGGGCCCTTCGCCAAGACGTTTATTTAAAACACCAACGACAAACGATATTTTTTGGCCAGTACCTATCCTGATCAGCCGCGTTCCCAAGCCCTGATTCCGAAGTCTACATCCCTGTGTGCAAGCACGCGAATGCCAGCCGGAAAGCGAGCCCGTAAAACCCACGCAGCCTGGAAGATTTCCGACGTAGAGCTTGGTGCCTTGGCATTTTCTATCTATGGAATCTTTACTTCTCAGTTTAGCGCTTAAGGTCTTAGAACATCTGTATACCAGACAAAACGGATGTGAGTTGGGAAACATGGCCTAGAGCCATATTGGGACTCTTTGCCATCTGAACCATCTGGGGTAAGGCGGATGTGGTGGTTATGGTCTGCCTGGGAACATGGCACTCATCCTGCAGCTAGGCTATGGATGCAGGATCTCGAACCCTGTTTTTGCTGCAGGATTAAACCCCTGCTGTGCAATTATGGGGTTCGCAGATTTCAGACATCTTTGAACACTTCAGGGTTCACCTACCTTGCTTTGGAAAAGGAAGCACTGTGAAGAATCATCAGCGGGTCTCAAGGTCGGATATGTTTTCCAAGTAACTTTTGCATCACGTCTGGGACCCTGGTGATATGTCGCTTCCCCTCCGAAAGCAACTGGGTGATTTCTTATATTATCTAGAACAAGGTGCAACGCCTATCCGGGGCAGCCAGAAACCCCTTGGTCGTTGTGTATACTTCTTTTGCAGGCAGGTCCGCTCCTCCGCTCCCCTGCAGCCCCAACATGCGGCAAGTTCTGATACTGATCGATGTATAGCGCTAACCCAGCAAGTCTGCGTTGAAAGGTTTGATTTAGGTTGGATTTTTTTCGAGGCACGAAAACCTGACTTCTGACTGCAAGTGCGTCGTCTTCGGGAGCTGTATGACTCCAGGGCCCAGAATCCCAAAAAGGTTCGCCCGAGACCCAGAAAACAAGCCCACAGGACCCCAAAAGCACCTCAAAGACAATTCGCGGTTGCGCCAGAAAATCTCCAGCCCAGTCTACGGCCAAAAACTGAAAACTGCAATGCCCAAACCCTTAGCCTCAACGTTGCATCTCACTGAAACCTGAAAATTTGGAATCGTTAGAGCCCTAAGACCCAAACCCCACACAGTGATCCGACGAGCCTCAACAGTGTCTAAATCACAACCAGCGGTGGGATAACCACAATACTATACAAAAAAAACACGATTTCTGAACATGCTGCAAGCCCAGGGGCCCGGAACGTTGCCGCCCTTGTTAAAGTCGCCGCCGCCACCACCGCAGCCACCGCAGCCACTGCAGCCGCCGCCGCAGCCGCCGCAGCCTCCGCCACAGCCGCCGTAACCACCGCCTGCGAAGCCTTCAGCAGCAACAGGAATGTACTGCTCCACACACTCGCAGCCCTAAATCCTAAACGTTGAGCCTGAAACCCTTGACCATGTGGATCGGGGTGCGGGGTGGGAAGAACAATACAGCCAATGCTTGAGTATATGGGAGCTCGGGGTTATGATGTCAGGGACTACCTGCATTTACATACGCTGACGCTGAATCTCAAACATAAGTTGGCTGATTCTGGGACACCATTCTCTGCGAGCAGCTTTGTTGTGAAAGGATCCAAGCTTTGTATGTCCCGTGTGTACGTTTGCATTTTATATAGTTGCAGAGTACCCAACCTAGGCCAGAAAAGGGCCCTCGTCCCCGAAGGCCTAAACGCAAGATATGCCTGAATGATTTGAACTTCATTCGCAGAGCCCTCAAACTAAAAGAACAAACAAACCTTTCAACACCTGCCCAAAAATCCTGATTCCCTATCCCTATAAGACTAATAGGCTAAAGCCACCACTCCCTGTCCCTGAGCAGTCACCGACTTACCGTGAGTCCCTGTCTCCTTGTCCCGAAACATTGAGGGAACCTTAAGCGTTGTTACCAAGACTTGGCTTCACATTCAATCCCAAAAGCTACACAAAACAACACGGCACGAGAAATCTAGCGGCCAGCGGCCCCGGAAACCTTCCTGCTACCAGTGCCGACCCTAAAGGATACCTACCCTCCGCCAAACAACTGTGGAACCCACGTGAAAAAGGACTCTGCAGGCTGAGTCTTCATGGTGCCCCTTGCCCAACACAACTGTAGGGCTTCGCAAATGCTGATTGCTTTGGGGGCGGATATTGCAAGGGTTGCTATGGTTCCATCAAACCTAACCAAAAGCACAAAACAAACTGGCTCAAACTAACTCTAAAGTCTAAACTCAACCCCAAGACCCAATCCCGAAATCCCGAATCCTGACACCTAAACCCTCAACCTACAAACCCGAAGTCCTAAATCCGCAGCCAGCCCCGAAACCCAAAACCTAAACAGCATCTGAGCTGCCGCCAGGCATTCCTGGCTGGTCAAAACCTGCTTCGGGACTAGGACCCACACGCTGCTGACAAGGGTTCGAGGGTTGGGGTGTAGTGTAGCGTGTAGAGATAAGGGTTTTCAAGGTGTAGGGCACAGGGTATGAGGTTTGGAGTTTAAGGTTTGGGGTAAAGGTTGAAGAGTGTCGATTTCACAGTTTACTGCCGGGTGGAGGGTGAAGAGTTTTGTGTCTGGAAAGGCCATGTGAAGTCTGAAGGAAGCTAGGAAGTAATACTGCTCCGGGATGAGGGGAGGCATGTGGGCGGTTCCCAAGAAAATCCCTACAGAGTCCATAGCACGCATTACTGTCTTCCATGCATACCCAGGGTCCACAAAGTACCCCTATCCTGAGAAACCCCCATGAAGGTGGTAGTAGATCTCGCCTACACTCACAATCCTCAACCCGTATACATACTGAACTCAGACCCTGAATTTCGACACACAGTCAACCCTACGTCCTGAGCCGTATACGCCAGGAATGTTGGTACAACTCAAACCTCCAAGAGCCCGGAATAAACCCTGTGCGAACCTGGGCTAGCATAGGCACCGGCAGGGTTCGGATTGAACCCTGGGTCGCAGCCTCAACCCAAAGAAATGGAGGCTTCGATGGGGTTTAGGAGTTTGATTTCCCAGCTCTTCGGGGCTTACCTTTCAGATAGGGTTCATGGGCTTAGGGATCAGGGGCGCTTGGGCTTTGCCATTTGAGTCTTCTGCTTAAAAAATTGGCTTTCGTTCATACGGTTCGGAGTTTACAGGTTGATGGTATAGAACATTTGCAGGGCCCAAGCTTTCAATGTCCTTGCCAGGCAGTCCGGTGACCCGCAGCGAGGCACTGCCGAAAAGGCCGCTACAAAGATTTAATAGTCTAGGGTGTAGGGTTTGGGAGTTAGGGGTTAGTACTCGTCTGAGGTAGAACGCCCATTGGAATTTGACGGGTAGCTCTCATTCGTCAAAAGTGTTCGTCTAGCGATCGTCAAATTGCAATAATCTTGCTTTGGCTTGGATCTTACCGCCCTTTTCAGAGCTTAAGGCGTTACACAGACACACATGTTCATGTACAGAAAACGTGAGCATGTTTGTATCTATGAAGAAGTGCCAGGTATGTATGCATGTATGTATGTGTGTGTGCATATGTACATATGTGCTCACATACATGTATGGGCAGTATGTTGTCATTATGACTTATAGCCTACAAAACCGAATCCGCAGGCCAACAATTCACGGCATTGAGCATTGCTACGCTGTAGGGCTACGAGGTTTCCGTCTTAAGGGGTTCAAGGTTTAGGACTTGCAGAGTTTAACAATGAGTGCTTTGGGCTCGGGCGCCTAGGATGTGGAGTTAAGAGTTGGAATAAGATGCTTCATCGCTTACGGTCGAGGGCGTCAAACAGAGAGCTTGAGTTCTTAATTCCGGTTTTTGAGAGCCCCGAAAATCTACGTAAGCGTTTCCGCCATTCCATGCTCCTCACCCATTATCTCCGGTACGACTTAAAAACCTACAGGTGCTTAAGGGATTATTTTAAGGATCCAATCTCCAACTCTCCCTTCAGCACCAGTAAGAAGAGCATTGGGCTCAGTTACGTGGTTGCCTGTCAAGGCCCGCGCCTCCCTTGCCGCCGAAGTTGCCAGGCTGGCCGCCTGGCGGACCGCCCGGGCCTCCGGGCTGTTCTGGCATTAGAATTAAATCCATATGTATATATATATATACATATATACGTGTGTGTCTGTCTCTCTCTCTCTCTCTTTCTCTGTCTCTCTCTCTCTCTTTCTCTGTCTCTCTCTCTCTCTCTCTTTTCTTTCTCTTCTTGGGGCTTTAGGGGGTCCTACGACCCCTCGCAGGCAACGCCTGCAGCCCTCGCAGGCGAGCATTGGTACACTGTCTGGTCCCACCCAGGAGGATCTACGCATTGTGATTCAGTCCCGGAAGCCTGCCATGTAGCAGCCCCTTAATCACCATCCTGCATGCGGTTCCCGAGTCCATGTCACCACACATCTTTCAACTGATTAGGGCGTGAGACATCACTAAGCCGCCGAAGCATCCACTGCATCATTAACAGCTCTCTCTCTCTCTCTGTATGTGTATGTATACAAATTAGGGCTCCCCTTCTACGACTGCCGTGAAGACTGCTCCGCATACGTACGTACATATGCAAATGTATACATACCAGGTTAAAGGATGTATGCGTTGTGTACACGGGAAGTGATCTCCTGAAGACCTACCCTTTTGGTGGGTCACAGGGTGAGGTATTGTTCGGCAGGTTTAGATTCTACATTTCCTGGAAGTTGGCTGACTGTCTGGGGTGAAATAGCTGAAAGGCTTCTGCAGCAGGGATCCTTCAACCCAGCTACCATTTTGAGTGCCTTGATCTTGGTGCGTCAAGGGGCGTGGGTCATCCTTGGGGTTTGGGAGGCTTGCGTCCCGTGTAGAGCTTTGGGTTCAAGGCTTCAAGGGCCCGAGCCCCTTAATTCATCAGGGGGAGTTTGGGGTTTAGTGTTTAGGATTCCGGGTTGAAGTCTTAGGAGTTATATCATATCGGGCTATACAGGACCTTTCTCAAGCTTTTCATGTAGGTTTTATGCATGACCTGATCTAAATCCCGCAACTCTCCACCCAAGTCCCATCCCTGAGCCAGAAACCATGCATCAAACATCACATCACAGGCTCAAAGCCGAAGTCATAAATCAAAAGTTCCAAGCTCTAAAGCTGTAAGCCCCTACCCAGCGAGCTAACTCCCACCCTAAATCCCCTAGCCGCCCTAACCCCGCAGCCCTCAAAACCCAGTGAGCCCGCCTCCACCTCTGGGTCTGGCGAAGCTGACGTGGATAGGTTCCGGCGCCCCTTCGCGGAACCTGGGGCCATTAGCTGTACAAACTCGAAAGCTTCAAGCAAAAAGAAGGAAGGGTCTGGCGGGTCTGGCGGTTTCGGGCTTACGGCGCCCTGGAACATGGGATGCAGGGCAACTCAACCTGAGCCCCGAACGCCGAATCCCAGGGTTCTTATAATGTTTGGAGTTAAAAGGTTTCAGGGGACATTTATGTCTGCACAAAGCGCATGAGATGTCTCATCCGTCTGCACACCAATGAAATTTGGGCAGCACCAAGCGCACCGTGATAGATGCGCTATTGGATCATGGATGATTTGTAGTTTTTGTTCAGGCCTCTAGGCTTTAAGGGCTTCATGTGGTATTTGGGCTGATGGTATCGTGAGCGTGCAGTGCTAACCAATGCTCCCTTGAATGGCTTACCACCACAATTTGCATTCCAAAAAACCGCGTGAAGCCTATCGCCGGACACTGAGCACCGCAAACCTTGTAGCAGGCAACCAAACCCTGAAGCTCTGTCTGTAAAGAACGAGCGCAACGCCCTCAAACGCTCAACCCATTCCGCAAGACACGAAGCCATCAAACATAAGCCAAATTCTAACTCAATGACACCTCTGGGCTGCGAACTTATAGATGTTGTCTAGGACTTGCTGTGCGGATCTTGCTGCCTGTGTTGAGGGCGGGGAGGCGACTTTCAAATCGGTCCGCGGTCTTCTTGCAGGGTTTAGGGTCCTTCTGAGTACGCTGAATATGAGAATGAAGGACCGGGCTTTGACAACCCTAGTGAGGGCATACCGTGGTGGTGAGTAGCAAATCCCGAACTTGAGGTTTCGAAATCACCCCGGAGTTAAAGGCTTGATAGCTGGGGAGTGCAGTCTGAAAGCGGCTTGTTCGCGACCGAGGGCCATGGATGTTTGGGGGTTACAAGAAGGTATCGCAAACCCGCAATTCAAGAAACAGGCGTCGGGAGTTGGGGTATCATCTCAGGATCAAGCGGCGTAGGTTTCGCGAGCTTGTTTGGGAGCGCCCTTTCACCTACAATAGGTCCTTTTGTGCTGCAGTGCCTGCTAAGCACTGGCAGAAACCTCAAACCTAAACTCCTGAACCTTGAAACAGGCCTCAGGGGTCTCGTAGATCACGAAGCCACATCTCTGGCCCGGCCTGGATTCTTCTTGTGAGAGCTCTAGGCTTTAAGCGCTTGCGTTGAGGGGTTAGGGTCAACGGCTTAAGAGGAATGAGGCTGTAGGGACAAGCATTTAGGATTTTGCGTTTAGGCTTAGGATCTCTGATTTCAGAGTTGTGGGGTTTGGGATAAAGGGCTTGAGCTTAGAGTCAAAAGTTTAGGATGCAGCGTATGTGGGGAGGGCTTGAGGAGGTAGCTCTAAGCTCCCCAAGTTCAAGGCCCGAACAGTATCAAACGGTAGCTAACTCCAAGTCCATACGGGTACTCCGGGCTAATACAGGAGTATGTATGATAGAGATAAGTATGTAGAGTTTCTCGAATTCTGGGCCTCCATTCAGGGTCCTCACGATACGTCATGATGAGGACTGAAGGCACCCAAGTCTGACAGTGTGGGTCCAAAGAAGCGGCCAGAATTTTGCAGAAATGCTCCAAGCCCATTACCATGCACCCTTTACGGTTTGGGAATTGGGTTCGCGTGTTTCGTAGCTCAGGACGTGGACTGCAGGGTTAACAAGAACCCTCTGAAAATGTGTACACCATTGATGTGCCTAAATCCCTGCAAAACGCTTTGAAACCCCAAACCTGGACTACAAATTTTAAGCTCACTGAAACAATTGTCCGGGCCTGGAACGCTCGGGACCGAGCATCACAACCTCTTCAAGCATGGATTGGATGGATCTGCGGGGTTTTGTAACGTTTTTTTGTGCTGCCAAGAAACTGCGGGTCGTAAATGAAATGCGATGGTGTTGCAGGGCTCGAGGTCTGTTGGCCGACGCCAACCAAAAACTTCGCAAAATTAAGCTCAGTATACCCTCAACAACCTGGGCCGGTGCTGTGTAGTTTTGCCACATCAAAGTTTTCGCACATTGGCAGCCCCCGCCCTAATCGAGATTCACATTCAGAATTGTCGGCTTTTGGCAGCTCCACTGTAGATGGATGGTTGACATTTAATGTGGTTCCGTCTGGGTCAGACTAGAGGTCTGTAAGTATCTGTGACCTCAAAACTCTTGTACTGAAGAAGCGCGGCAGAGCTGCACATGAGGTGCAAGAGGGAAAAGACGATTCATCTCCAATCAGACCAGCCACCAGAAGAAGCACAGAATTGGGGTCTGTAACAAGATCTCGAAAACTTTATCCCCTATGACTCTATGACCTTCATCTCAAACTACTTGACATCGTGACCGTAGTTGAGGGTTCGGCGAAAAGGGGCTAGGGTTCTGTGAACCCTCTACTTAACTCCATGAAACATGGACCCACAAAGATAGGTCCTAAATCTTGAGCCTCTGAACCTCCAAGCCCGAACCATGACAACAACACCCAATTCCTAAATCTAAGTCGTGAGTCTGAAGCCCTTTGATCCCAAAACAGAAACATTCCCAAGCCTCCTGAACTGGGCCGTACGTGTTGAACACGATCTTTATCTCGTCCTCCCTGATGTCCTCCCGAAAGATGCAACCCTATACTGAGCCAAAACTCTCCACCGCTGCATGGTGTATGGGTCGGGCTTCCGTTTTCACGGATGTGATGAGCAAAGCTGACATGAATATGATCTGTACCTTTCGGGATTATGGTCGC